CTGAGCTGGATAACTCACAGGAGGAAATGTCTTTTAAATGTATGAATAACAATGTGATGGCTAAAAAWTGTGCTTGGATATCATGTAAAGTACGGTGCTCATGCTAAATCCTCTGTATAAAAGTGTGCTTATTTAATTTTATTTTTCGAGTTCATGTTTTTGTTAGAGTAATAACAACCCGAAAAAAAACATGTTTTTGTACGTGTTTTAGGTATTTTGACCATTTCGTATTGTGGAATATCATGCATTTATTCTGTTTGCAGGGACCAAGGAGAAGACGGAGGAGTTTATCAGGCTGCGGGCCTCCAAAGAGGCCTTGTTTACTGGGGCCAAGCATTCAGCCAGTGTAGCCTGGAAGTAAGTTTGACCATTGTTTTATCTGCGTTCACTATTTTTGTAATAAATGTGGGAAAAAAAAGATATACTACTGTCTACGTGGACACTGGATGTTTTCCAAAGAAGTTCTACTGTTTTTCTGTAGGACTGTATAGCTTTGTTAAAAACATTAGTGTTTCCCTCCACTAATATCAATGTTAAAAGTAATATGAGTGTTAGTTGCATTGTTGTTATCAACATTGTGAGTGTTGTGCCTTTTTTATTTTGTTATTAGGGCAATACTGGAGCAGATGAAAATAGACAAATTAGTTACCACAGTGCAGGCAAAGAAGAAATGGGACAATTTAAAAAAACGTTATAAGGCAAGTACATTTTTGTCGATGAAATTCAGCTAATGCATTTTTTTTCCTAACTGATGTTTCTTGTAATGCTTCACTCTTCCTTAGAAGTGCAAATATCCYGGCTCGGGAGAAGGAGTTGCTGGGAAGCCCACTGTGGAGACTTGGCCCTGGTTTGTCCTCACAGATGAGGCATTGAGACGAAAACCATCGATGAAGCCCCCCGTCCTACTGAGCTCCATCCCTGATGACAGACCGGGACCAAGCACCGCAGTGGGGTCACAACAAGCAGAGGACGAGGAAGATGAACGGACGACTGGTCCACCAGCACGGAAGAGGCCGAGGAGGAATGGTCGAGATGACGAGCTGATTGACCTCATCAAGGAGGACATTAGGCTGCAGAGGGAGGCAGAAGAGAGGCGAGCACAAGAGGGGAGAGAGTATATGGACAGGTTGTTCTCTCTCCTCGAGACAATTGCCAAGAAGTGACCATTTACTGTGCTCTGACTTGTAAATATTTTTTTTTATTTGTTTGCAGTGATTCCCCTTGCTTTTAATTTTTATGTTTACTTTTAAATAAAAGTTTTTCTTTATTGCTTCTGTGTTTTTGTTTATAACACAGGTCTGTCCACATTTCAAAATCAAGTATGAAAATAGGTACAGCATATTAAAAAAATGGTAAACAATTCCTTTGTGTGACCTATGCATCGGTTCATTCATGATAACACATGACGTGAGTCACTGTCAGTGAAATAAATGTAGAGATGCACTGCAAATATCAAATTAGATCTTGCAGCGAACAGTATATAATATTACACAATGTCAATTGTGTGGAAAACTGAGTAGTGTTTTTGTACAGATAAAAATGGCATAAGTAGGCAAATGAAGTGCAGGAATTACATGTATGTGCTGCAACTACATAAAATACAACAGAGAAGACATTATGTAGTAATGACCAGTGTTTTACAATGGACCAGAAAGTGATACTTGAGTTAAAGTACAAGTATCTTAACCAATAATTACTTTGGTAATAGATAAAGTCTCCTTTGGGATTATTAGTAAAGTGAAAGCAGTAAAGTATCTGCTATTTTTTGGTACTTAAGTATTAAAAGTAAAAGCATTGAATTAAAATGAGCAGTTAGATCGCAATGACCTTTATTAGGAGGTCAGCTCCCGATCAACTGCAGAAATGACTATATTTTATTAAAATAAGTAAGTAAGTAAACTTTATTTCTATAGCACCTTTCACAGACACAAACATCACAAAGTGCTTCACAG